TTTTTGATTCTAATTTACTTGGCCTAACTAATACTTGTGTATCTGCTCATGCTTTCACCCTATAGTTTTGCTGCTTTAAATCAGCTGTCTTTAATTCGATTGACATAAAACTAAAAACGGTTGACCTTTACTTTGAGCAATTTCTGTTGAAAAACTTTGAATATGTGGCTTATATTTAGACCAAATTTGATACCTAATTGTAGATTGTAAATCAGTGTACTAAATTTGAAAAAACTCATGATATATAAGTATGTTTTTCTATCAAATAACGTAATCATACTTTTTGGTGCAATGAAGAAAAAAAAAAAGGAAGAAATTCAATTGAAACTGGAGATTTTATATCTCGTGTATTTCTAAACTCTCTCTACACCGGTCAAAGTCCATGTCATCACGATTGCTGACTTGCATTCAAAATTTTATTGAACTATTATTTTATGAATTTATGTCAGTAAGTCTAGTATCAAATTGTAGATTATAATTCAAATTTTAGTATTATACATTATATAATTTCTTAATTTAAAAGTAAATATTAAAAAAACCTAAACATCGATCTTTATGTGTCACTTGGTAGGTTGAATGCAGCACTGGTTCAAATTAGATGTTTGTAATGTCCAAATACAAAGTCTATAGTTTCTTATGAATTAGGAACTCAAATTACCGATATTGACACGTTAGAATATAAAATAAAAACCTCCCAACTTTTCTATTTGCTGAGATATCGCTCATGTTCTGAATCAAACACAGTGGCCCCGCCCACTTTTTTCCGTTTTTGGAAACACTTCTTCGTATACAGTTACTTCTGTCTATGACATGAATAACCATTTCAAAGCTCAGAATGTCCCTCTTGTGGCTTTCTCAGTCATTTTAACGTTCCTGAATGCCATTTCTTTATTTTATTTTGGTTTAGTTGAACCATGATTTCAAGGAAGTAGGGTGTGTCTTTAGTCTGCTCAAAATTTCATATCTTTTTAGACCCAAATACAGCTTAGTTAGTACGTTTGATAAATTATAATGGAATTCTGTGGTATTGATATAATAATTTATGATTTTGTTGGTTATTTCAAATGTATATATAAAACCTAAAAAATATATTTCATTTTACATCCTCCATGTGCGAAATTTTATAAGGCTTAACAACATATGGTAAGCAGAAAACTAGTACAAAGGTTGTAACTAGAAGAGATAATTGTTTGCTATACTTATTCATTTGCTGTTCTATGTTTTTAGAAAAATAAGTTTAAAAACTTGTTTATAAATAGTAATAATGTATTATAACTGAAATGTGACTGTATACTAGTCTGATATTTTGCATATGAAAGCCTTGTAATGTTTTACTGATAATCTGCCTAATTTTATGAACATACACTTACTAATTTAAAAGTTATAGCATGTAAAGTATAAGAAGGACAAAATGGTTACGAGGTCGGTCCCAGGGACCTAACCCATGCTGAAAGAGTTTATGGATTGTCTTAATATTTATATGTGAAGTAAGGGTCCAGTAGAGCACATTCACTAAGAATGTGATAGTTTGGATTACCACAGTCCAAGATACAGAAAATTGAAAATTGCTAAACTATCACTCCTGTTAACAGCACATAGTGTGTCCAGCAGGTTGTTTTGCACTACCACTACACTATAATCTGTCAGTCTCTTGAATTAACAAAATTTGCATAAACTTGAAATTATTTTTGGTAATGTGATTGATTGATAAATACATTGTCACATTAATACAAATATTTCAGTATAGATGAATGATTCACAGTTTCAAAGCTAGTACAAAAATAGTACAGTGTACTCTGGATCAGCGTATGATTTTGTTAACATTTAATAGTTCTGTAAATAAATACGAGTTTAGTGCAATGTGTGGTTAGCAGCTGAAAGTGTACAGATATTGCTTTGGCAAATATGAGAAATGTTTTTAAGTGTTCCATTTTATAACAGTAAACATTCCTTCCGTGTATTAAAAATCAAAACACAATCACAAATGTTAAAATCTGTAGTGTTGTCTATGCTGTAATAATGCTTTTGTCATTTTAAATTAAAATTAAAAAGTGTGATTGGTATGCACGTTATATACAAATAAATAAACTGCCGTTGTTAATGTTCTGATGATGTATCAGTAATTTGAGAATGTCACCAATCATATTGAAATATTGCAAGGTAACATTTAAGCAGAGTTGACTCTTAATATACAGCCTGTCTTATCTTTATTAAGCTATATACATCAATAATGTTTTGCAATTTTACATATTTTGGTACAATGATACCTTATGACCATAGACCAAATGATCAGGGAATAACATTGTGATGAGAGAGAAGTAGAAATTTCATTCTGCTCAAGGTGAGATGTGGGAGATGTGCTTATTATATGTAAGTGTGTATAATATGTGATTCAGTTTGATGTGTGTGTGCATGACCTATGTTTATTATGGGTGTGTGTGTGTGTGGTAGTTCATTTAGATATGTTTTGTTGTAGTGTAACTCTTGTCTTGTGTAATGGATTAAGCAGTATCTATGTTCCTGCTGAGTGTTTCAAGTTTTAAAAAATTTTATTCTCAATAGGTTGTAATCCCTCACTTAACAGAGTCCTACTCTTCATCTCAAGATCCTCCAGAGAAGTCAATACCCATATGTACTCTCAAAAACTTCCCTAATGCTATTGAGCATACACTGCAGGTATTTGTTTCAAAAACAGATAATTTGTGAAAGCAAATGTTTTCAAAGTTTATAAGTTGATTTTATGTTTGTCATTGCCAGAGTTTAATTCACTAGTTGATACTAATAAACTGTTTTATCAGTATAGAATGCAGTAGGTTTTAAAAGCATACATCTTAATCTGTAATTCTTTGTGAAAGAAATTTGATAATTTGGGAAACATGATTAAATCTTTGAATTATTCTAATTACTAAGTGCATATAACTAGTTAAACTTTCCATACAATGAAGGATATGTTTTCAATATTAGCGTTGCAATGAAATAGATAACTGAGTAAGGAAGTACATTGTGTTGTTATAATAATAGATAGGCAAACAATGATTTATAAGCCTAAGGAAGAGTTTATTGATGGTGGAACATGGTACATGTTTTGACAGAACATTGGTCTGTCTTCGGGTATGATGTAGACAGACCAGCGTTCTTTCGAAACACATGGTATGTTCCACCATCAATAAGCTCTTTTTTTTGCTTATAAATCATTGTCTGTCTAAATATTAATGACATTGATATGAATATTCTAATATTTCTTTGAATTTTATTTTTTAGTGGGCCAGAGATGAATTTGAAGGACTCTTCAAGCAGTCAGCAGAAAATGCAAAACAGTATCTTGAGTAGGTACTATTTTGATGATTAAACAAATTATATATTACAAATGTGATTTTTGTTTTAGTGGTTCTTGTGTATATTACTATATGTAAATCCACCTACTAAGATTAAATTCCATATTCTCAGCTGTATGCAGATCTTTAAGGTAGTTGTTCAGTGTAAAATCATGTATTCCTGGAAAATGGATTTATCTGTTTTATAAAACCTCAGTATGAATTTGTATGCTCTGACACTATCATGTAATAGTAGTATTATAACTCGTAATCATACAAGAATATTGAACCCTGTATTAGTTGTTGAATCAAGGACTACTGAATCTGTTCAACCTAGTGTTACTTCTCTGTGTTTATCTTGAATCACAGACAACTGAATGTACTAGTTGTGAATGTAGTGTTACTTCTCTGTGTTTATCTTGAATCGAGGCCTACTTAGCATACTAGTTGAACATAGTGTTACTTCTTCGTGTTTATCTTGAATCATGGCCTGCTGAATGTACTATTTAAACGTTGTGTTACTTCGTGTTTATCTTGAATCAAGGACTGCTGAACTTACTAGTTAAACGAAGTGTTACTTCTCCGGGTTTAGCCATTCATACCCATAGAATAAATACACCAAATTTAGTGTGTTAAATTTGTTCTCTCGTATGGTCTCTGCCATGACATTGTTCGTCAGTGACTTGCATTTTGGACCAGCCTGCAGATCACATTTTGAGAACCACTGTGTTAGACCATTACAAACAGAGAAAGGTGTCTACTATACAAGGATTTTTTTCTCAGCTTACAAGAATATTTAGTATCGTTAATACTATTAGAATGCATGTAGTATACACAGATTTTCAGGATATTTTAGTCTTAAAAATTTACTGTCCACCATACAGTTTTATTTTTCGATTGTTGTATTAAAGAATAACGAAGGATTTCTGCTTTTATATATGTCATCCTTTTAGGTAAACCAGCTGCTCAGTTGGGATAAGGTTCTATAGTTTTGTCTCTGTTGATACTCAGGATTTATTATAATTCTTTGGTTTAATATTGCTATATTTATAAGGAGTTGGCAGTCTTGTATTTTTACCATGATCCTTCACTTGTTTCAAGAAGAACTGTTAGTATTGCTCAAGTGAAGATTGCAAGTATTTATTTTTGTGGCTTTGGTAAATTTTTATTTTTCTTTATGATTCATGTATATAAATATAGAACTTGAGCTTTAACATGGCTGTAATTCTTGACAGGGATCCCAAGTTCATGGATCGAACATTGAAGCTTCCAGGAAATCAGCCAGTAAGTGTACTGTTTCCACATAGTCTGTTTATCCTTATATTGAAGGACTGATTATATTTCTTTTACAATAGCGATCATGTTTCAGCTTTAATAATGTACAAAATTGGTTGATTTTTTTCTTTTTTCCTAGTCCATGTGAATTATATACGTATTTTAACTACTGACTTTCTGTAAGTTTTCACTGATTTGTTTTTAAATATTAATATTTACAGCTGGAAGTTTTGGAATCAGTGAAGAAACTTCTTGTAGACGATAGACCTTTAACCTTCCAAGATTGTGTAGCTTGGGCACGAAATCATTGGCAGGAACAGTACAACAACCAGATACGCCAGTTGCTCTTTAACTTTCCTCCAGATCAGGTATTTGTTTATTTGATTTGAAAAAAATCCCACATGTTCTATTCAATGACTTGTTGTTTTGGCAAGTTTCACTGTAGTTATGTAATGCTGTAAGTATATCATAAAAGTTTTTTTATAAAAAGCGTAATATTGTTTGCATTAATTCTTGCTTTTTTTTTAAATGAGAAAGTCTTAAATTTTATCACATTTTTGAGATTCAACCATGACCAATAAATCCAAAAATGTTTGTAATCACTGTTCCATTTTACAAAAAACATTTTAAACTACCATTGGAGCAGCAGGAAGATTTTGTTAAGCATTTCGTTACCACTTCTGTTCCAACAATCCTTTATTGTAAAGATCAAATTTTATAGTAAACTTCATTTAAATATTGCAAAGCTTTGTTGATAGCACTATCAAATATATTTGTAGTATTTTATCCTCATGGATATTCTTACAAGATATTTTTTTTTCAGTTTTCTTGGCTTAAAATAATTTAGTTTAACACTAAAATTCAAAAACTTATTTTTTAATCAGTTAATTTTTGAATTCTTAATAATTTGTATTTCCAATAAAATGTTTGTATCTTCTCAGTTTGAATATTAATTATTTTCAATACCATTCTAGAAATCATAAATTATTATTTGGACTACTTTAAAGTATATGTTGTAAAATACTGTTTGAGGTAGTTGGTTGAAAATGACTGGTAAAAAAAAAAGTGTTTAAAATGTACAGAAAACAAAAGGCTTATGTTAAAAATGTCTTACTTTCAACTTCCACCATCTTCGAAGTATCGGAGGTACATGACCAACTTCAGCATAGGAATAATTGTCCTTAATCCCATTTTCTGATAACATGCATTACATATATTATTGTTTTCACAAATTCAGTACTTTTTTTTTATCTGAAATTCAAAGGAATAATAAGATATTGGTAGTTTGTTAAATGAATACAAAGTAGCACACACACAATCTCATTTTGAGTGACAAGTGATTCTCAAAAACATTTGGTGATTTCCCTTGTCTGAAATTAGGAATGAATAGACGTTTAACTATCATAGTCACGATGGGTGTAGTTGAACTTCAGGAACACATTCTTATAGATTTGAAGTTATAAAAAATGTATTTTACTAAGTTATTGTCATTAGAGTTAGTTTGTTGTGCTGTTTAAATGAGTTATTAATATTATACGACTCATTTCAATTTGATAATTTCACATTCTTACCTTTACCCATTTTCACAGCTTAATGAAGTAAATTATATTATGATCTCAACACTACAATGGTTTAAAAATGTGATTATAAGTTTTGTCAGACTCTTAACATGTCCACTTCTATTATAATGTAGTATGTTATAATAAAATTGATAGATGCACATAGTAAAGAGTAATCAGAGGGAGGGAATGGAAATAACAGTAGTTCATATTGATAATTACTTGAAATCTCTTTCCATGACCAACGTGATTTCTGTATGCATCTCTTGACGGTTTTAGGTAGTTATGTTGTGTTACATGGAAATAACTAACCTAATGAATAATTTAAATTATGATAATGATTGGGACTTAAATGTGAACTAATTTAAACAGTGTGGTAAATAATAAACCTATGTTGATTGTCATAGGGGTTAGACTTAATTTTCAATTCAGGGAGGTTTGTAACACTCGTCGTATACAAGATTTTCTCATTGAAATATCATAAGTTAGAATTAGTTAATTGATAACCCTCAGTGTATTCTAACTTTAATAGTAATAGAATAGGTTAAAATTAATCACTTGATAGCATTCAATGTATTCTTATAATTAACTAAGAGTGCCTGTTAGTTATCACAGGCTAAGAATAATTGCTTGTTAAGTTTAAATGTGTACTTATGTGAACTAATGTAGCATTTTACGGAAGACAAACATGCCAACTAGGAACATTTCACTCCTCATGACTATAGTGTTTGAAGGACTTTTCTTTCAACCATGGGAAGCCATCAAAATTTTGAACAATGTTTTTATAACTTTATATTTTATAATTGATATTTTTATCTTTTTGTAATGTGTATATAGTATGTTGTAAAGAAATGTGATAAAATGTTCAAATGTACATTTCTGAGCAGCTCCAAGGAGTCTTGTTTTCAAAAAATACATTTGAGTTTTTACAAATTTTTTGTCCATCCCAATGTAAAGGTTTACATTTGTTAAAAAAAACAAAAAAAAAAATATATTGTTCTTTGAGAATGTAGTTAGCCAGGCCTTGTATTTTTCTCAAGATTTTCTTAATAAGGTTTTATTTTTACAGCCTTTGGTTCATACCTTTTGTCAGATTTTAAAAAAATATTATATATGTCTATGGGTTTTGGTTTGTTTGTTTTTTGCCAATTGTTGAGATAAATGGCTTTTATTTATTTCTTAATAGTATATAAATATATACTATGTAGCAATAAATTTAACAATGAATAAACACCGCACACTTTACTTGTTTTCAAATATTATATACTAGCTGTGTACCTGTCCTTCGTATGGGTTGTGTGTATAAATAATACATTAATAATTAATTAAGTGTTGCTTGAGGGGCCCGGCCTCACACCCTCAACTGATTCAGAGCCTTTATAATCTTTCGCAGACCTACACACCTTCATTCTTTAAGCATCCTTAGACACTCTGCTTAAGCTACTTTTCTTTTTACGGGGCATGTTGATGTCAGGGTATTTATTACGTACAACACTTACTCCTAACTTGAGAAAGACTAAAAAAAATAAACCATGTAACTGAATTTTTAAACTCCAAGGATAGTGTTTATAAGAAAGAACGCAGTTCGCGAGTCAAGCGCAAAAGAGCAATGCCGAGTGGAGGGGCGAGCGACCCTTAGCAAAGAAATACTTCTTTTAAAGACATATAACCTTAAAAGCAATAAATAATGCTAAAACATAAACAAAATAAAGCACAGACAGCTGGAGTGACACAACAAATTTTTGCAGGAGTTGTTTTCTTTCCAACATAGAGATAATAAACATTGTTTTGAAAATTTACATTGTATTCACTGTTACTATGGTAATCATTAAAACAAAAAAATAGTACCATAAGAATAACATTAGAAC